GGATCCTACTGTCCTGCCTATGGAAATGGCTTATTGATGGCTGCCACAGTAATGTGTGGGATCAGCCTGGTCCTGGACCCTCCTCTAACGGTGCTGCTCTTCTTCCAGGTCTACCACATCATCCACTGCAGGCAGCACCCTCAAGAGTCTCCATGTGTGCTTTCATAAAAAAGCAAGGTTCCCATCCAGAGGTGTATTCCAGGAGCTGGCTAAGTAAGCTGTACAGCAGAGCTCCTGTGCAACAGCTCTACCTGCCTGGTGTCATTCACTGCTGGCCACACAGTCCCAGGCCACCTTCTCTGAGGGTGGCAAACACCATTGTCTCTGGGTGTTAGGTGGGTTTGCTCATGTGTGCTCCACATCTGCTGAAATTAATTCAACCAAGAGGAACATGCTGGTGGCCTCATCCTGCTGGTACCTGACCCATTCACCATGGAAGCTTTTGTTCCAGCTGCTGCCTCCAGAAACAACACTATCCATCTCAGCAATGCAAGTCCGGCAGGATTACTCACAGGTGGTTAAAATTTTGTCTTGAAGTCAAGTCTTGCCTTGAGATTTGTCTCCAAAGCAAGATTTGAACCATCTGTGACTAATCCTTGTGAAACTTGAAGGCATCAGTGGCCAAAAGTAGTTTTCTTGCAGAGTTCCTCAGCGATAACAAGGTGCATCATTCCTGCAGGACACCTGGCCAGAACTTCTGTCACCAGGAGTCAGGACCTTAGTGCCAAGGCCAGCAGCAAGGGGAGCAGTGTGATCTGGAAACACAACAAGAGAAACACAAAAGAAATGCCAAGCAAATGACATAAGAGACTTGTCTTTGCACAACAGGGAACCGGGCCTGGGGAAGGAAGTATCTCTCAAACATCTCTCTGCGCTTTGGTAACACAAGATTTACTCAAAGCCTCCACACTGGTGGTGTTGCAAGTACCACAGAGAGTTTGTTTTTCTAGGTGGCAAACTGAATGGACACATCCTGAAGGCTGCAAGGGTTGTGCTGCACAGACTGGTTTGGCTGGGTTGGTGCTTTACTGCGGTCAATAGATTTTTATCAGATGCTTTTACTTGTTAAATTTTCCTTGGTTGTGGGAACAACCCAGCCAAAAGTAAAAATGATGGAGCACCAGGAGACATGCAGCCAAGGAGATCGTTTGTTTGGCTGGATCCTCTCCTGCACAAGGGAGGCTTTGTGTGAGCTCACAGAAGCGCCGTGTTCCTCTTGCTGTGGGCAGAGCTGGCGGCAAACTTGGGGCTTTGTCTCTGTGCAGAGTCAGGCCGGCTTCGTTCTCCACGGAGATGAAAACTCATTATTTCCGAGGTTAAAGCCAGGCTGCTGGGAGGCCACAGTTCCTTGTGAGAGGTGCCTGTCTCCCAGCAGCATTGGCAAGGAAGCAGCTGGTCCTTTGGGGAAAGGAAGAGGTTCATACTGGCCTCAGCGGGGGAATCCCGTGCTGCCCGTGACACCTGCTGTGAGGATCATGCTTCTTTGGCAGTGCTGACCTCCTCTGGGACCTGAAAGGTTTTGAGATGAGGAAGAGGGGACATATGTGGCATAGCCTGGAGGTCCTCAGGTGGGATGGGGTTCCCATGAAAAAGCTCAACATGGGGACATGAATTAAAAGCTGTCTACAAAGCAGTGCTTGTGTGCACTGGCTGATTAACACTGCAAAGGTAATTATAACATCAGATATCTGCACCAGCCCATGGTTGAGATGCTCTAGCCTGAGACAGGCAATATTTCAGTAGGATGGGGAAAGGCAGCTGGGTACCCAGTGGAGTCATGATAGGATGGTGAGCAGGTATGGCATCAATGGAGAGCCCAGAGGTTTTGCATCTGCAGGAATGTGGGGTGCAGGTTTTAAGAAGTTTATAGCTCTGTCCAGCAATACACAAAGCTTTTTAGAGGTCAGCAGGAGATCCAGTACACCTCTGCCAGGGGATTTGTCCCTTGCCAAACACCAGACTGCAGAGATCTCGTCTTCAGACAAGATGATATTTTTAATGGCTGAAAATATATTTTCCCTGACTTTGCTCTGGGAAACAGCTGGACCTTTCTGGCCAGATTTGAAAATAGTAATAATAATAATAAAATCAGCCCACTAGCATTGCAGTGAAAGTAGGTAAAGCTTGGCAAACTTCCCTGTAACTGCAAACAGGGCTTTTTGCTGTGGGAAGTGCCGAGCAGCATCAGGAGCCAGCAGGCACCAGGCAGCCAAGGCGCCAGCTGGAGGAGCTGGCAGCACACTGGCTGGCTTTCCTGCCAGGAGTCAGCCTGGCAAGCCGGTTTGGTAGCCTGCCTGTGTCCCACTGGAAAGCACCAAGGCAGATGTCCCCAGCGAGGAAACTGCCGACAACCCAGCCATACACTACCGGAAAAGTTATCAATCAGAAACAATTTTGCCAACTTGATGTTTGAGTGTCTCTGCCCAAACAGCAGCACCCTGTGGAAGGCAAATCTCCCTCTTAACACAGGATTTTGTTGTGGTCCCATGCAGAATGCACTAGGAGAGACGAACACCTCAGCTGTGTAGCAGGGCAGCTCCAGCTGTCGCTCTATGAAACAGCCACCTGCACAACCTGTGTCTCAGGTGTCAGCCTTTGCATGTGCTGCCATGAACTCCAGTTTATGCAGGGGCTGACTGCTTTGCTTATGCATTTCTGTGGCTCCTCTAGGTCCTAAGAGATGATGTTCATCTTCATTCTGCAGCCCTGGTAGGAAGGGCTGGTATGCTGGACTCTGGAGTGGCCGCCTTCCCCAAGGACAGCTGATTTTCCTCCTGCTTTGTTAGGACAGGTTCAGCAGGAGTGGGTGTCACATCTGCCTTTTCTCCCCAGGGCTGAGTGCCCTGAGAGAGTGAGACTCATAAACACATCCTCCTTGTTTTCTAAAGATCCTGTGAAAGTCTTGCCTGGACTGCCTTCAGTATAAAATGATAAAGTCCTGATGGTTTTTCTCATCATTCAGTCTCAGGCACCTGGAAAGCTCATGGAGTTTTGCTGTGCAGAGTTGACTCCACGTGCTTATCTTTCCAGAGGTACTACCCTTAGGTTTTGTCAAAGTTTCAAAACCCTGCACATACCTCAGCTTTACCCCTGTGATTCAATGACCCTGTGGGTCCTTTTCCTTTGGTAGCACCCAAAGGAAAAGAAAGCCATCTCCCTATGTACTTCAAAGTGGGAGAGCAGCCTAAGGCTTATCACCTCTGTTTGCCAAGTGCTACTTTTCCCATTAATAGCAATATCAAGAAGTGTCAAATCCACACAGAGTTTGATGGCTCCAGCCTCACCTTGGTTTTGACTTGAAAGTGCACACCTACAGAAAAGGAAGGACATCAGCAGGCTGGAAAGGCTCCTCCTGTCATCAGCAGGCTGGAAAGGCTCCTCAACAACCAGCATGAAGCAGCTTGGAGCCAAGGCTGATTTCCAGCTGAGCCTAAGCTGATGTTTGGAGGCCAGCCAGGAACAGCCCCAGAGTAAAAGCAAGCAACCCGCTTCCCGAGCTCTGCTCTGCCGCCTCACGGGCTGGTGGCTGGTGCTGAGGTCTGCCTGCACCCAGCTGGCATGGGCTTGGGGCAGAGCTGGGGTTGGCAGCTCCCCTAGGACTCAGGGAGGTGAGGGAACGAGGTGGATTGAAAACTGGCCCAGAGTGTAGTGATTAGTGGCACAAAGTCTACTTGCAGGCCAATCACTAGCAGTGTATCCCAGGGATCAAAACTGGGTCCAGTTCTGTTGTGAAGCAGCTTTTCTGAAAAGGACCTGGAGGTGTCTTGGTGGGCACCAAACTGAACATAAGCTACAAAGAAGACTAAGGGTGTCCTGGGTTGCTTTAGGCAAAATGTTGCCAGAATGTGGAGGGAGGAGATGCTCCCCCTCTGCTCAGCAATGGTGCATCACCCCAAGAGTCCCGTGTCTAGTGCTGGGCTCCTCAGTACAACATAGACAGGGATGCACTGGGGAGAGCCTGGTGAGCGACCACGAAGATGAGTGAGGGACTGGAGCAGTGGTGCAAAGCAGAGGGAGACGGGCTCTTCCCAGTGGTGCCCAGTGCCAGGACAAGAGGCCGTGGGCACATATTGGAACGCAGGAGGGTCCCTCTGAACGTCAGGAAACACTTTTTCAGTGTGAGGATGACCAAGCCCTGGCACAGTTGCCCAGAGAGATTGCGGAGGCTCCATCCTCGGAGGTATTGAGAAGCCATCTGGACGCGGCCCTGGGCGGCCAGTGCTGAATGGCCCTGCTGGAGCTGGATCGGGTTGGATCAGGGCTTGGATCAGATCACCTCCAGAGGTGCCTCACCTCAGCCACACGTGGCTCTGCGAGCCCCTCCAAAGGGACATGGAGCCTTTCCTCCAGCTGGAAGGTGTGAAGAGGTGATGGGGTGATGGGGATAACGAAGGACTGCGACAGGGATGTGAGAGGGGCTGCGGCAGGCGATGGTGGGGGTGACGGTGTGACAGCGGTGTGCCCGGGCTGAGGTCAGTGACGAGGGTGGCAGAGCTGACATGGCCCGAGGGAGTGACGAGCGTGTCAGGGTGTGGCGGGGGGTGTGACAGGCTGCCGTGGTGGGGACAAGAGAAGGCTGTGGCGGGTAACACGGCTGAGGCGGGGCCCCAGGGTGTGCCAGCGCTGTGACAGGCGACAAGTGACAGGGGACAAGGGGTGTTCGCGTGGCGGGACCCCGCGGCTGAGCGGCGGGTGCCACGGGCGGAGGGAGAGGAGGTGGCCGGTCCTCCGCGCCGCCGGGGGGCGCCGCGCGGCGCTGTGCGGGCGCGGTGGCGGCGGCGCCGTTTCCGGGTTGGCTGCGCGGCGCTCGGGGCGGCCCCGCCTGCAGCCGCCGCCGGCACCGGGCCCGGGCCTCGGCACCTTCGCGGGCCCCGTGCCCGCCGCCCCCGGGCCGGCCCCGCCCCGCCCCGGCCCCGCTCCGGCCTGGCCCTGCCGCCGCCCGCCGCCGCCGCCCTCCTGCGCGCCGCGCCCCGCCTCGCCGGCCTCCCGCGCCGGCCCCGCGCCCTCCTCCTCCTCCTCCTGCAGCCGCCGCCCGGCGCCGCCATGCCCGGCCCGGCCGCCGGCAGCCGGGCGCGGGTGTACGCGGAGGTGAACAGCCTGAGGAGCCGCGAGTACTGGGACTACGAGTCGCACGTCCCGAGCTGGGGGTAAAGCGCCGCGCGGGGATCCGCCCTCCCTCCCCCGGCCCCCCGCGCCCTCCTGGGGAAGGGCCTCGGCCCGCGGGGAGGGTTCCCTGACCCCCCGCTCCCGCGCTGGGCGGGTCCCGGGGGCTGCGGGCGGCGGAGGGGGAGGCTGGGAGAGGAGTACCCCCCTTCCCCCGGCCCCTGCCCTGTTGGTTATACCCACACGCCCCCACCGCCCCTCTCCCCTTGGTGCCCGCAGCAATCAGGACGACTACCAGCTGGTCCGAAAGCTCGGCCGAGGGAAGTACAGCGAGGTCTTTGAGGCCATCAACATCACCAACAACGAGAGGGTCGTCGTGAAGATCCTCAAGGTGAGTGTCCCGTTGATGGTGTGTGAACTCGTGGTGGCTGGGAGCAAGGGGTAGAGGGCTGTGTTGGCAGGGCCAAAGGGCTGTTGGATCTCCTCTTTCGTCGCAAAACTTGTGTTTGCTTGTTAAGGGCGCTGGGATGGTGGGTTTGGAAATGGATTTGGTATCCTACGTGCTGTAGCAATATTTTGATGTCTCCACCCCTCCTTGTCCAGCATAGCTCTGGGCTGGGAGCTCCTCTGGAGGGGGAGAGCTACGAGTCCTGACATTTGAACAGCGTTGCATGTGCTTGGCAAATCGGATCTGGCAATGCCTGTCTAAAACAGCCCAGGGGCTGCCATGTCAACAGGAATGCGAAGCCCAGAGGGGGGAATCCTTCTGTTAACCTCCAGACAGCTGGCATGTGGCCTTTCCAGAGCCAGGCTGCGGGATGCTCAGCAGTCAAAAAAGCAAAATTTTATATTCAGTCCTTTTTAGAGGATCTAACATAGGAAAGAACTTCACCACAGTCAGACCATAAACACTATGGAAACTTGAGGAGACTCAAGGAGCCCGTCCAAAATGTGTCAGCGACAGTGACCCGTGTGCTGGGGTGTTAGCCTTGGTGGGGTCGGGCCATGGGGACCTTCGTGCAGCAGTGGTAGGTTGTAGTTTGGGATGGCTGAGTGCAGAGCATGCCTTACTGTGTTTGACACTGAAGCAACAGGCTCACAGCAAGCTGTGGTAACTGAGCAGCACCCTGTGCTGATGATCTGGGAGTAGGCAGGGGAGAGAAATGAAAGGTTAGAATTGAAGTACATTTGGTTCTGGCTTGGCTGACACTTGTGGCTGTCACTTGTTGGACCAGCCACACTTGTCACTTGTTCCCCAGGAGCACGTGGGAACCGGTCTCTGACCCTGGGTGTTCTAAGAATTTGGGCACCCGTTCATCCACAGCGTGCAGGGGGGTCTGAGCTCAGCATGCCCTTGCAGCCACTAAGAAAAGCAGCTCCCTAGGACATGTGTCTCTGCAGGGCTGTAGCCTTAAGGCATTTGCTAGATCCGCTCGGATAGTGTGTCTGGCAGTCTCTGCTGACATCCCCACTCACTCATTGTGCCTGCTTCCTTGGGATCTGCCCTAGCTTCCCAGAGAACTTGTCATGGTTTGTCCAGCCAGCGTTCCTGGGAAAGGTATGATCTTCCATCTGTCTCTGGGAGGAGGCACACACACCCTGACTTTGGCTGTGGGCAAGGAGGTGGCCAGGTGAGCTGTTTGGGAGAGACTGTGTGGCTGAGCCTGACGTCAGGGCAGAGTGGGGAAGCTCACGTGCCCTTGCCAAGCCAAGTTCCTCTGGCATGCTCTTTGGGCCTCCCCCTCCTTTAGATGCTTTATGTGGTTTGAGCTTTTGTCTTTTTTTAAGTAGGTGCAGGCAGGAGTTTCTGCAATGAGGCACTAGGCACAGGTAGCCGGTGCAGAGCTGGCGTTCATGGCAAGATGGCTTGTGGCTGGACTGGGGAAACTGTGCACTTGTGCACGCTGCTCTGGAGCCCTTGATGGCCTCTTCAGGACTACTGTGGTTTATTGAGATCCCAGGTCTTGTCCCACATAGAAAGGCACCAGGAGGCTGAGAAGAGATTGCAGGGAAAGTCGTCGGAAATCTTGCTCCTTACCTCTTCCCAGCCCAGAGAGCCTCCCCTGGAGCGATGCTCCTCTCCCTGTGGCAGCCGAACTCTGTCACGTCTAGGGAGCCTGTCAGCTCTGGACGGTGAGTCAGCTGGCAAGAGTCATCTGAGGGCAGCTGGGTGCTCCTTCTCCTTGGGGCCTGAATGTGTTGCCTTAATGCCCTGCAAGCAGGAGACTGGTTTGTCCCAGATTTGAAGCGGATGGTGTTGCCACTGGTTCCCCTGGCTCTCCCCACTTACATTAACATGCAGACGGCATTCCTGGGAGCGAGCAAGGAAAAGCAGAAGGTCCAGATAAATAAAGATGAACTTTCTTCTCAGTGGAAAGTGGGTCAGTGAAAAGTGAGTTTCAGAATACCACGTTGTGTATGTTATGAAAACCTGTGAAGTGTGGCAATAACATCACTCTGATCTGTGGAAATTGCCTCTGGTTTCCCGTAACTAGACTCAAACTTAATTGCAAATGTAATTGCATGTATCTACAGTGGAGCCTTAGCAAAGAGGTTGGGTGTCTCTGTTCCTCCAAATTCAGGAGGAATTCAGGTCCTGTGAGGTGGGAAATGCAACCAGCAATGTTCAGGATTTTGTATGGCTGCAGGGATGGGACAAAGGGGAATACTGCTGCTGGGCGATGGATGTGGCTGTTTAGCACAGTTGCTTCTTTCTCTTTAAGTTTTTTTGAAAGGACAGTTTATGTTATGTGTTAGAGTGAATTTTAGCAAGAGTCACTGTTTTAATATCTCTGCCTCGTGGGAAGTGACTGATGTCTCTTCCCAGCCTTTCTCTTTGAAGCATCTTATCCTTACTGAGCTCAAGCTAGCACAGAGCAAGTACTTCTTCTGCCTCTGCCTTTTCTTCCCCTACTTTGGTGTTGTGCTACCTGAACATCTTGTACCCTCCTCCACAGAGGTCAGGAAATTTTATCACCCTTTGTCTGATGCAGAACTGAGCCACAGAGATTTCCTGTGTGACTTTGGGCAAGTCCCTCAGCCTAAACAAAGCTGAGACTAGAGCACAGGTCCTGGTTTAGTGCTGCATGAAGGGGTAGATAACGGATCTTCCTTTTCCAGCAGCCACTCACCTTGTTTGCGAGTGCCTCATGAAGACTTTAGCACTGGACAAGGCCAGGGAGCTGATGACTCTGATTGGCACCACAGTGCCCCAGGCCTTTTGGGCTTGCATAAAGCAAGGTGCCCCATTTCCCTGGCCAGTACCCAGCATGTCCTTTCAGTTCTGCTACCCCAAGTGCAGGACCAGGCCCAATCCTATGGGAAAATGGTATGTTGCTAATTGTGGTCATCATGTGTGTCAGGAAAGGAGGAGAATTAAGAACATGCAGATAACAATGACATTACCATTTCCTGGGTCAAGTGCTTTTCTTTACAGATATGATACTCTTAATGTTACTTTTCCTGGGAAAACTCTGCAGCTCTTTTTTAAAAGGCAAAACAAGCAGGTTGCTTCTCACTCCGCTGCAGCAGGACATCAGGATGCCCTGCGTAGGATGGCGTAGGCAAAGCAGTGGGGCAGGGGCCTGGTTTGCCACACAGACACCTCCTGCCAAAAAGCTTTTTATCTTGAGAAGTGAGGTGGAGGGCAACTCCCCACCTTTTCAACCTGTTCGGGGAGCAAAGATTCAGGAAAAAAAAATCCCGGGGCTGAAGTGGGGGTACTCTGCACTGTACTGACCTTCCTACCCCTCATGGGTAGGAGGGCCTGGAGTTAGCCAGCAGCTCTGCTCCCACAGTGCCTCACTGGTGTTGGAGGCTCCTGTGGGCTTTTTGATCTGGCTGGCATCAGTACAGCTGTGGACATGCTTCCTGCCTGCTTCGGGGCGGGACATGCCAGGAAGGGGGACTGTGTGAACATGTCCTGTACGTGCTGTCGTGTCTTGCTTAAATTTGATGCTAAGGTTCGACTCCCAGGATGAGGTCTGACATTCCTCAGCACGTACAAAGGAAGTTTAAGACATGCTTGTTTCCAGTGAGTCATGTATGGTCTATGTCCAATGCAGGTATCTAAAGTGCAGCTCTGCTCTTCCATATCTAACAACATAGATTCAGATTTGTGGTGGGCTGCTGAGGTCAGTCTGTGCTGTCCCTTTGATGAGCTTCTCAGTTCAGTTTTCTGCTGATGCAGCTCCAGAGTTCTCCCAGTGTGCCTTGAAAGTGAATCCTCTGGTCTGGGGTAACAGTGTTCCCGAGGGAACTGTTGCTACTCTATAAGCCAAAGGTTAACTTTCCAAATTTCTTGTAACTGTTGTGGGTGATATTTTGTAGTGAGAACAGTGCTGTTAGAGTTACCTGCAGTTAGGGCTGTTGATGAGTGTTGGCTGTACCACCCTGTCCTTCACAGCCCAGTCTCCTGTTCCATCCTGGTGTCTGCTCAGGGTGGAGATTACAGCATCCATGTTGGCAGGTCTGTACAGGAGTCAGGAGTCCTCCTGCTTTCCTGATGTGCCCATGTGTCCATGTGCACTCTACTTGCCTGCAAAGGATTAAACCCATCAGAAAAAGGCTGTTTTATCTCCTTGTGTGGTTGCTCTTTGCATAGGCACAACACGTGGGTGGAGGTAGGGGAAGAATGGTGCTACAAGGAGAGGGACCAATGAAATGGAGGTTGTGCCACAGTGATGAAATAGCCCCTTTCTCCTTTGGTGGCTTTTGTCCCTCTGTGCTGAGTCCATGCACTGGAACTTTCAACCATGTACGTGGTTTCACAAGTGCATTCTTGTTTGTTTGGCTTTGTTTTTCCCCTGTTGCCCCATTTGGGCTGTGTGAACCCTCCAGAGCTGCTGCTCATACCAGGCACTGCTGGAAGGTCCTTCCAGTGTTGAACTCAGATTATCTCTAGTAGCTAGAGAACCAGTTGGGGGAGGTAGCCCTGTGGCTCTGGTGAACTTTCTTCTGTCTCTAAAAGCTCAGAGCCCACATACATCAGTATGTTCTAGGTGAGGGCTGAAATGACTCCTCTGGTGGTGTGCAGAAGGGATTGCACAGGGAAATAGGATTGGATGATGTTGGTCCCTCAGGCTGGAGCTTTTGACTGGATCGGTGACCTTCCACCAAAGCCGTTCAATGCCTGCTCCTGGTGGCTCTGTGTCTCTCGCTCCTCCTGTGTTTGCATGCACTGTATCAGCTCCCTCTGGCCCACTTCCTCCTCTGGCAGTCTTGAAATGAGCCCTTTTGCAAGAGAGCCGGGTACACAGCTCTTCTCTTTTAAACACCAGTTGCCCACACTGAGCTTGAGCTGAGACCAACTGGGACAGTACTGGGTGTCTCGCAGAGGCCTGGAGGTGCAGCTGGTAACTCTGGTGGTGGTGATGTAGCACCGAGGAGCTG